AATCCAGGTAATCGTTTATTTTGTTACGATAAGCCTATTAACAAAATATCCCAAGGTAAAATTAGAATAATTATGTATTTTATTATCTGATGTTCTTCGTTTTTAGGGACAATATCGAGTTTTAAGTTTAAAAAAGAAACACTCATGGACAAAAATCATTTATGGGGGTTAATGATCTTAGCAAGCAAGGATGGAGCTTTCTAGTCTGTATAAACTATCTTAAATTACATAATTTGAATAGCGTAAATAAAAATAAGGAAAACTAAAGTTCACAAGCAAGTTAAATATTCTAAGTGCAAATTTTTAAAAAAATTAAAGTACTCACCTGTAACTATTTATTACTTAAGTACTTTGTTACAAGTGTGGTATGGTAGAGTCCTTATTTCAAGTGACGAAAATTCAAATATTTTATCTGTATTATTTGTGTTTAGTAAGACAGTAAAACTAACGCACTTCATTAAAAAAAATGACGCGTGACAAAAAAAATAATTGAAAATGGCATTTTTATATAAAAAACACAATTATTTCTTTTTTCAAATTAAGTCATGAAAACAGTTTTTTTTTATAAATATAAAAATCTAAAAAAGTTGACATTGGTAATTTTACTAATGATTAAAATGGTTTTTTTTTCTTATGTTTTAATTTACATTAGTTTTGAAAGTTGAAAGAAACGTCATTAAAAGAACTTGTGAATGACGATGACACAATATTTTAATCATTCCTATAAAGTATATGTAGAATAAACTACGAACAAAGCTGCAATTAATGTCTTTTTTCTAACTCAAAGGTAGAAAAAACATTTTTAAGTCAAATCATACTTCAAAAAAGAAAGAGGGAAAATTATTTAATTAAATCTTAAGTTCTTTTAGCTGGAGGCTATGTTTTGTTCATAAAATTTTCTACAACTTTTTTTAAGGTTTTATCAATGATTAATCTAGAGGTGTTTTTGTAACCAAATAATGAAAAGAAACTTGATCACATATTTTTATTAATAATCTATTTTTAGTGCATTTAATAGGATTAAATAACATACAATTTTAAATGTTGATTATCTCGCAGTTTCTTTAAGGTGTTAAATAATTTTAAATAACTCTTCCGTTTGAATACGTTTTTAACGCGACTATTAAATCCAAACTTTTGTATATAATTTATATCATGAAATAAAACAGCAAATTAATATTATTCAGTTTATCCAATAGAATTAAATCTATGTTTTTAAAACCTTGCTGGACGATATTAAACAGACTTTTTAAAATAAACTTATTTTAAAAAATCCTCGCTTTAGTTTTTATGTTTTAACATATTTATACAGTAGGTTTAAATAAATTGATCAACATATGTTTTGTGCATGTATATTTTTATTTATAAAATACCCATTTTTCATTTGGATTAAAAAACAAATATTAATAAATAGATATTAAGTAACGCTACGCAATCATGCAAGAAACCGAAACCCATATACTGGACACATTTAAAAATATTTAAAATAATTCCAATTTTTTTTATTATTATTTGTTGCCCTACCCAATGACTTAATGTCATTAGACTAAGCAAAACACGTTTTTTTAAGTTCAACTTATTAAAATAAATATTAACTATTTAGCACCGATAATAATGCTAATTGATAGCGGCCAATATAATCAAGACAGATCATGATAGTTAACCTTGATATTCAAGATTTACCATATTCATAGTTCATGGTAAGTTTACACTTTTGCAAATAACATTTTTTTTTCACTTTAATTAACATTTTTTGCTGTTATTTAGGTTCATTGATACACATTTTTGAAGTGTAATTTTAAACAAAGTAAACACATAATTTTAAATAGTTCTGATTTGGTGACGGTACCCTACGTTCATTTTGTTAGAGTTTTCTTGACATGATGAATCAAAAATAAATAACTACTGAAGAATATATACTACTAGTGGCCTGCGCCCCCTGCTCGCTAACGCTCGCCCACCCCCGCAAATTGCTACGCAATCTTATACGGTTTGCCTCGCAAACCAAGCTCGCTTCGCTCACTACTAATTTAGGTACATTGCAAATGTACAAAATTCTAAGAATTCAAAACAATCATTCAAATTCATGTAACAATTTTTTTTAAATACAAAATTACATCTTTTTAGTAAATACTTAGTCATTAGAATAAATTTGAATTCAAATAAATGACATGTAATTCGTTAAACCTATTAGAAATGTGCTATAGTATAAAATCTTATAGCGTAACAGCGCGACTCAGACTCATTTTTCAATAAATAACTAATAACAATAATAAAACAAATAAATTCGTGATATAAATCAAAAATCATCAAATAAATTCGTAATATATAAATTCGTGAAAAAAAGCGCTTTCGACAAAATACTAAAATAGAGATCTATCGACAAAGACTACTCANACATCTGCTCCTGCACCCCAGAGCCCAAGGTCAAGAAAACTGAGATGGGCACAGTAGGCCTTGGCCAGTATGGGCTGCCGCGCCGCTGAGTTTAGTTTAATATAATCATGACTGATCATGATAGTTAACCTTGATATTCAAGAATTACCATATTCATAATTCATGGTAAGTTTACACTTTTGTAAATAACATATTTTTTTCACTTTAATTAACATTTTTTGTTGTTATTTAGGTTCATTGATACACATTTTTAAAGCGTAATTTTAAACAAAGTAAACACATAATTTTAAATAGTTCTAACACATAATTTGGTGACGGTACCCTACGTTCATTTTGTTAGAGTTTTCTTGACATGATGAATCAAAAATAAATAATTACTGAAGAATATGTAATAGACTCTCAATGAAACTCGTTTCTGATTCAATAGGTCTGTAAGCTAGCAAACATCACTTGAGTGAGTGCGCGTGTATCCAACTCAAGAACAGTTTGTTTTAGGATCATTAAGTTTGAAAAGCGGGTGAATAAGACAATTCTAAATGCTAAAAATCTTTCTCCAATCGTAAAAATCTTTCAAAAGTTTCGATTAATTCGCTCAGTAAGTTGTTTAAAAAGTTAATTTTTCTCCTTGTCATTGTTATAAATTAAAACTGTAGACATTTTTTTTTTCAATTTTACGATGTAATGATGTTTGCTAGCTTTTACAGCTCTGTTTAACGAAAAACGAGTTTCACGATTAGTGTTTTATTCATTCTTTAATAATAAATTATCTAAAATCAGTTATGTAAGGATTACATAGATAAAATCAACGCAGTGTGGCGCCAAAAAAACTGTCTGAAAACACGAGTTAATTTGTTTATAGTTACGCTTTTGAAACAGAAATTCAATCTTTATTCAGCAGAAATTTGGTCTTAAAAATTGAAATACACTTAATAGTAATTAAAATCAAAGGAATTGAGTTAGATACAAAAATGAAGATTTATAGAGAAAATCGCTTGAATACAATAAAATTTGGTTATTGTGAGTTGGCCGCGATCAGTAGCATTATTTTCAGTGTCGATCTATGATTAATCTTTTTTTCGGTAAGTTAAATTTCTTTCCTTCATCTTACGAAAATCACCGGAAAAGGAAGAAAATAATAAAAAGAAAAATTTTAAAGATATTTTTTCTGACAGTCTCGTTTCATGCTTCATTTTTACAAATTTTCATTAACATTTTAATAGGAATAATACGTCGTCATGTTTCCAGTTTTGTTTCTTTCGATAAATTGAATTTCTTTCCTTCATCTCAGAAAAATAAATCTCAGAAAAATAAATCACCGGAAAAGGAAGAAAATAATTAAAAAAGAAGCATTTCAAAATTATGTTTTCTAACAGTCACGCTTTATGCTGCATTTTTGCAAATTTACAATAGCTTTTTAATAAGAATATTACATCGTCATGTTGCCCGTTCTGTTTCTTTAGATAAGTTGTTCCTTCATGTTCGAAAAATAAATCGGTGAAGAAGGAAGTAAGTAATAAAAAATGAAAAAAAAAACTTTTTAAAAATATTTTCACTTGCATTTTTGTTTTATGCTGCCTTTTTGCAAGCTTTCATTAACTTTTTAATAAGAATAATGAGTCGTCCTGTTTCCAGTTCTGTTTCTTCCGATAAGTTGAATTTCTTTTCTTCATCTCAGAAAAATAAATCAGCGGAAAAGAAGGAAAATAATAAAAATAAAAATTTTAAAATTATGTTTTCTAACAGTCTTGTTTAATGCTGCATTTTTATAAACTTACAACAACTTTTTGATAAGAATAATGCGTCATCCTCGTCATGTTTACAGTTCTGCTGTTCATCTTCTCTGGCAATCAGTCAACGAAATAGTATATAAAATACACGTAAACTTCTAGCGTTTTTTGAGCTTCTGAGAAAATCTGATGTCCTTTTTAGATCTAAGACTCGGAACACATCTGCTTTATTACTCTTGAAGTCTTTCATTCTCAATATTAATTTAAACAAGAAAATTAAACAAGCTTTACATCACTTATTAAGTTGACAAAATTGTGAAAAAGACTTTTCATGGAGTTCCTTGTAAACAATTTTAACATACGTTTCTTAAAAATAAAAAAATAGTTACATAATTTTCAATTGTAGTCAAATTGACCCGGAACCTTAGTATTCCGAGGGTTTTTTTTCTTTTAGACAAATAAGATTGTACAAAATAACAATTGTACAAAAGAACAATTGCACAAAATAGTAATTTTTCCTAAAAATAAATCTAAAGTTGTCCACTCGCGTTTTTTGAGCTAAACTCATAGATATAACTAAACAATAAATAATTTGTTTTCATTCTACAACAGCTATAACATGCATGTACATTATTATCAAATTACGAGCTTGCGAATAATTAATAAAATAAAGTACCGTAATTACTATCAATAATAAGTTTCATATATACAATTCTATATGTCTGTTATCACAATCCGCCGAAGTTACTTTTCGTCACCATTATAATTAAGAACAAATGGAAAACATTAAAACACGCTTTGGCATTTTTATTATCTTGTATAAAATCAGAGTTTATATAAGAACCAGCCGATAAGAGAAATCTTCTTTCTCTCTAGGAAACTACAAGTAAAATGGTTCCAATATGGTGAATCTGTATTCTTTGCATTACTAATATGTTAAAACATAAATAAATCAAGCAATAATGGAGGCTATAGCTATCAGCGAGTGTGCACTCAAAAAAGTAAGTCATCATTAAAATTTTCATTCTTTTCAGATCTGAAATATCTGTATAATATTTTCAATAACTCTGTAAAATATTAAAGAAAACAACGCATTTTATTAAAAAAAAAATTTTTTCCGTGCTAAAAATGATAATTTTTTAAGTAAAAAATATTAAGAGAAACAATGCATTTTATTAAAAGAAATTTCAATTATAATGTTAATGTAAAAAATATGAAGAGAAACAATGCATTTTATTAAAAAAAATTTCAACTATAATGTTAATGTAAAAAATATGAAGAGAAACAATGCGTTTTAGCATAAATAAATTGAACTTGTGTTTTAAAAAGTATTAAGAAAAAGAATATATTTCACCAAAACTAATGTATTTTATTTTAAAAAATATCAAACTTTTGTGTGAATATTAAAGGGAAACAACTTATTTAAACAATCAATAAATCAAATTAATTTAGCCAATAAATAAATCAAATTTACTCTATCAATACAAATTAAAAACTTCTTTTTCTCATCATTTAAGAATTTTGTTAATTTATTACAAAACTTTTATATGAGCTTCATTTTTAAAAATATTCGAGTCAAATTTTGTGTCAATTATTTAGTTATATTTATTTGCCAAGCAATTTGACAGCTCACCTTCCATGTTTTTCTACTTCTATAAGTTATTTTACTAAAAATATAGTTGTTATTCTTATTTCTGAAGATATCTTTACAATAATGTTTGAGAAATCAATCATTTTAAAGATTGATGCATTAATAATAAAACAATAGCATTTATACAAACATATAGCATTAATAATAAAGCAATCGCTTTCAGCTGCCGAAAGTGTACTTAATAAATATTTATTTAGTATATGAATTATACTAATTTGCATTTTAAATATAATAAATTTAAATACATATGAAATTTTTTACCATAGTTCGAAATTAAATAAATGGGTATAATTCTTTTTCAGATGCACGTCTAAGTCTAAAAATGTGACTTCATTAAGCCGCAAATGGTATTTTTTTCCTGTTTTAGTATATTCAATGATCATAACAATGCTTACAAGGCGTTTTTTGTGCATTTAACAAAATCATTCTTCTCATAGTATATTCAACATTTCGCGAAAAAAAATGCAACCTATTCCGATAAATGAAATGAGATATGAAATTTTTATCTAATGAGCCGATTTCGAATTTTTATAAAATATTCCTATTTCAAATGAATGCAAAATGATGTAATATAAAATTATGTAAATTTTCATAATTGGTAATAATACAGGGGTAGCATAAATGATTGGATTTTAAGTATTTATAGTTTCAAAACCATTATAATGATGTAAATATAAAATATAAAATAATGTAAATTATCATAATTGTCAATAATACAGGGTTAGCATAAATGATTGGATTTTAAGTATTTATAGTTTAAAAAATATTACACATATTACAAAAAATAAAGCATGGAATTACTTAAAAATATGCCAAGTTTTTTCTGTTACAAATGCTTGATGTGTGGCTTTTTTGTTACATAAGAAACATTTGACCTATAATCAAATTAATTCCACACATTTGGCATTTTAAGACTATCAATAGTTCTTATTGCTGCACAAATGCGTTCTTTGAGTTTATACAATATATTTTTGTCGTTTGTAGTCCATAGCAGTGTATTTAAATTAACTCCTTAAAAAGAAGTAACATTGTGTAAGGTCTGGGGATTTTGGTGGCCGTGTGATTTGTCATCCACACTCACAAGACGCTTTTCATGAATTATCGATGCCATAAACACTGCAAGAACATTTTTGTGCAGCATTAGAAACCATTGACAAAATGAAACAACAAAATCTGTGGAGAGAATTTGATTAAATAAATGCGCGTCCTCCAACAAAATAATCACACAATAGAACATTTTTGTAGCTAAAAATCATATTATATTTTTCTTTCGTTCCGTGTATCAATTTTCGTATTATGTGTTCTATGGTTTAACAAATATAAATATTTACAATCCAGATTTGCTAATGACGATGGTTTTCATGCTTATCACTGCGAAAACTATTTATTGAAAAAATGATTTTGAAACTTATTTACTTTGCATTGGTAGAATATTCATTTTTAAATTATAGTAATATAACAAACAGCAGTCTGTCTATTTAATTAACCGTAAAGTTTACGGTAATGATCTCTTTTTACCTTCACGGTTTTTAATCCGTTTATAACTAGTAAGGTTAAAGAAAAACTTGAATGCAAAACTATACGGTTTTTAAATTTCTTACAACAACCGTAGTTTCAAAACCGTTAAGAAAAAGAAATTTAAATAGATGTCGGAGACAGTTCAGCGGCTTTATGGTGCTGTTATCTATTCTTAAATGAAAGTAGCGTATTCTCATAGCACAGGGACGTGAATTTGGAAATGCAGAACACTGAAAACTCTTCATGTGTAAAAGCGAAAGAGAAATATTGCGGTGCCAACGATGGGATTCGAACCCCCGTTGTCTCGGTCATGAGATTGATAGATTATCTCCCTCGGCTATATAACATGTACCCAGCTGTGGAGAACTAAGTGGCTTCATTAGGTGGGCCTAATTGGTGCGATAAAATTCGGGTTGCTTAACTATATTAGGTGAAAATTATTCTCACAGATAACAGTTTGAATACCATCTAATTTATGGTTATTTGACTATTTTGTTAGAATATGGTAAAATAACGATTAAATAAGTTTTTATTTTACCATTTTCTCCTAGAACAGGGAAAGCGTTAAATAAGAAACATCTTTATTCAGTGTTTTTATGGTTTTATTAGTCATAGAAACAATTTTTCATTTTAATCTTTTATCAGGCCGTGGAAAGTATATTTTTCACTAACTTCATTAATTTTTAAATGTTGATGGAAGGCTATTTTTCCACCTATGATTTGTGCGGCCATCTGTTGATAACTTCAGAAAATAATACGAAAAAGCCATTAAAGGCATTTGTTTATGTAAATGTGGGTAACAGTAAAGGTTATCATGGAATCAAGAAGAGAGGCCAAGACTGGGGAGCTATTTTCTCGTGCGCGTTATGCGTTCGTTTATATGATCATTACATACAGTACTTATTCTTAGTTATAAGCACAGATTTCAAAAAATTCGCTTAATTATAAACGATTACGTTCAAGTTTGTAAAGTCAAGCTCGAGTGATTTTTTACACCTGTCTTCCCCAAACAGAAAGGCCCTAAAAATAAAATTAATTTAGGTAATAAGATAAATGAATAAATCAGTTTCAATTCCAAAAATATTTCGACACAACATTTCCTGCAAAAAAAATGCTTTTTTAAAGAGTTGAGTTATTTATGTTTTTTATCTTCTATAAACTAGATTTTTTTTTTTTGTTTATAAACAAAATTTGAACCGAATGAGTTTTAAAGGTTAAGGATGTCCCAAGCTTTCTTACCGATACTGCAGGAACCGTATGAAGAATGTTTTTCTGTTAGTTTAGGAAGATAATACTTGATTGATAGACACTTCATTATTAAAAAACGTGAACTTAAAAAGATGGAAAAATTTTAAAAAATTACATTTACAATGTTTAAAGTCTAGTTTAAAATAATAGTTTTAAATAATTTTTTATAAACATAAATTTTAATACTTACTATGAAACACTTAAATATTTTTAAATGGTTTTAAAATATGCTGTTGTACATAAATTTTAATAAAAAATATTTTTTTTCTGAAAACACTTTACCAATTAACGCAAAAATATATTTATAAATAAAAAAATATTTTTAGTTGCTTGAAAATGACATTTAAAAAAAGTGGTAAAATCTTTTGTCAAATATTTTATTTGTTAGATAAAAGTAGACCAACAAAATTTTGAATTGTTTAATATATTCATCTTATGAAAAGCGGGCGGGGGTGCCATCCCCTCTGCATAGGATCAAAATTGAGATTGCATGTCTTCGCATCATCCTCAGGGATGCTTCCCAGACCGTCGCCAATAGCCCATCGTGCAGCTCTAGTGCGACGCAAATGAACAACAACAACATATGAAAACAATTCCAATACAGTTAATAATCTTAAATAAATTAAACTCTTACAGTTAATTTGTATATTTTTATATGAATATAATTTTGTTTCCCAGGAAGGGAGGAAATCTACAGTTAATATCTTCAAGAAGTTCAAAATGTCCATCAACAGGCCACTTATTCCATTAAAGATATTTCTCTTCTGTTTCTATGGAGGTAAGATTTTTCCCATTGCTTTAGTGAAAATAACAAGAAATATAAGAATTCAGACAATAAACCATTCAACGTTATCTCTTACAACTATTACAGGATGTCCTAAAATTCGTGCCAGAAGTAGTTCTGATAAAAATCACAGGCTTTTCAATACAAATTGTTGTTCTTTTTCTCTGATTCATAAGACTGATTGATAGTAAATAGCAAGGAAAAGCCTATAGCATCTATCTATTTTGTGGTTTTGCTGAAACAAACGCAAAATATTTAATGACTAAGGTATTTTCCATATGTGTGGGTGAAATTTGTTTATACTGTGTCCAGATTCCTCCTTTGAGGCGTGGTCGGTTTTACTTTATGTTGGAATATATGGTAGGCTTTTAAAAAAAGAAGAAATGAGAAAGTTTGGCGTTAAATTGTAATTGTTGAACCTACATGACCAATTCATGTAACATGAAATTACAAGACTAAAGAATAGCTAAACAGCGCTTAAAACCTTGCTCAAAAATAAAAGAGCTCTATTCTTCATTTCTTTATTTTTCTAGAACTTCATTTATTATAACCATGAACTGATAAAACTCCCACTATCGTTTTCTTTTCGTAGATAAGGTTTTATATCATAAATGGTACAAATTTGAATCTTATTATAAATTTTAAGACACCTTTTATAGTATTAGAATCGATTTTTCTATTACGCTTCCCAATCAATAACAAAAAGGTTTAAAACTTTCATTCTAATTTTTGGAATATTTTAATCTTTTTCAAAAATATAACGTTATTAAGTTAAAACTCTAAAAAATGTGAGGCATTTCAAATTGAACTTATGAAATTCTATTAATTTTTAGCATGTATTTCTAAATGTTAGTTTTATTTATGCAAATTCCTCACCTTATACGAGTTGCTATCAACTTTAAGTTTAGCGAATTCTCTTATGAATTTATTTTCAAACACTTTAACGTAGCTTTAAAATATATATTTCTATAAGTTTGCTTTATTTAATCTTTATCTGCACAATTTATTTGCTACCTTTTTCATATTTGTTATGAATGAGTTTTCAAATTGTACTATGAATTTTTCAATATGGGTTTCTATAAGCTTATATCATTTCCTCTAAAATTCACTTCCGATCTGATTTATTTAACGCTCTTAGAAATGAATTTTTAAATTTTTTCCAATAAATTTTCAAAATATATTTCTAAAACCTTATATATTTATATCAATTCCTCATTTGCAGCTTCAGTATACAGTCATACTTAACTTTATTATAAATGAGTTTTCATATTGTATGATGAATTTTTAAGATGGATTTCGATAAATTTATTATATTTTACTTCTAAATACTTAATTTACTACCATAAAAATTATATGTCTCGGCAAACTACAACTTAAATTAGAATTTAAAACTTTCAAATTATATCGCAGTTCTTATTTTACATTGAATTACTAAATTCTTATACATTTTTCTATAATTAATAATTAATGTAAATATGGGCTTTATTTTTGAGACAATTGTTTTTCATTTATCTTCTTTTAATATTTTTATTGCAGCGGGATCCTTCGTAACAGCATTCCTTACAGTCCATTTTAAACATCATGGTATGACACTTGCTGAACTGTCAACGGCCTACATGATTTCTCCAATCGTACAAATTGGTGGAACATTGCTGTCAGGAATCATAGCAGACAAAATAGGACGCTCCAAGCCGGTATTATCAGCAAACTTAGCGATAACAGTATTAACCATGATAGGTATTATGTTAATACCAAGCCCAAAGTATATTAATTGCAATGTACAAACAGAGTACAATTCTTCTTCGAATAATAACGTCACAAACATGAAATGTGACGTAGGACAATTAGAAGAAAATTTGTGTTACAAACAATGCATAAATGAGTCTTCAAAAAACTACAGTGATCAAACTACAATTAAAAAGGGTTCAACGTCATTTGAACATGTGATGAATGAAACCATTGAAATCCAAAATCTTTGCAGATCGAAAAACTTTACAATGTGCAAGTGCAATGAATCAAATGGCACTCTTTGTTCTACTGTTTGCCCAAGTGAACCAGACACTAAGTGTTACGATGAAAGTCAAAGGAGTACATTGAGCAAAGTAACTATTCTTCTTTATATCTTGTGGATGACTGCGTATTCAAATTCCTATAGGATTTGTGACGTTACTACCATGCATTTGGTGACGATGCATAATGCGGACTATGGTAGGCAACGTCTTTTTTGTATGGTTGGAAATGTTATAGTTTCAGTTCTAGCAGGTTATTTAGTAAAAATTACGACACCGATAGGTGGCGAAAAAAATTACTCAACTGCTTTTTACTTATTTATATCATTGATCAGTTTCTGTTTTCTCGTCGTTTATAAATTAGATGTTCAAGTCAAACCGCCTGGAAGGAAAATGAAGAAAAATGCAGCAATACTGTTGAAAAATCCCGATATTTTGGTTTTTGCATTCGTGGTTCTAATCCTGGGCACTTCTTGGAACTTTACAAATAAATTCATATTTTGGTACTTAGAAGAAATGCAAGCTCCAAGTGTTCTCCTCGGACTAATTCCTGCCATTGGAGCTTTGTATGGTTTGCCATTTTTGTTTACATCAGAATGGTGGATGAAAACAATTGGGACAACAAAGTTTTTTATTATAGGACTTTTAGGTTATGTCTTATACTGCATTGGATATTCATTTTTAAAAGATCCATGGATGTCACTGTTATTAGAATCTGCAAATATTGTGACTTATCATCTCTTGTGGGTTGCAGTGATTTTAAAGAGCCACGAGATGGCCCCAGAAGGACTGACAGCAACTGTTATTTCTGCTGCGGGATCAATCCATTTCCAATTAAGTAAGCTATTTTTTTCTAAAAGTATGATAAATTTATTTCGCTATTATACAATATCAAATGGAACAAGAGGCACAAAATTCCAAAACTAACTCCACTAATGAATTACAAAATGGTGTCTACCAATAAAAAATTTTGCATTGTAAAAGAGAACAAATAGCAGAATCGTGTGTAAGGAGAAAAGTATGCTTCAGAGAAACTTTTATTCTAGCAATCAGATTTTCTCATACTAAAATATAACCTTAATTATTCGAAAGGTATACATTAAGTATGCTAAGATTACTTGAGGTTTCAGCTATGGAATTCGATTCTGTTACGTAATTTCTTATAATGAGAAAGTATTTTTTCTAAGAGTAGACTCATTTTGGGAATTATGGTTCCAATAAGTTAGTTGAATGATCAGAGTTTCATGTCCCTTATTGTTATTTTTATTTATTATGTTTTATCATCTTGCCTCGGAAATTCTAGTTTTCAAGACTATAATTCTTATTACCACACATTTAGTAAAAACTATAGAACTGGAAAGCAAATTTAACCGCATAAATGGCTCTTATGCCATTATTTAAGTTATTATGATAAAACTACAAAGTTTTATCACGTTTATGAAATTCTATCACATATTATAAAACTATATTTTATCGTTAATTTTATTAAAATCATATCCAAAGCAATTTGGTAAAAATTACCTTGCTTTTTGATGTTTCCATAGAGCCAGAAATAATGTAATGGTAAATTTTCTATAATTTGGTAGCTTCGACCATACTTTTTTATCAGCATATTTGGTTTTTCTAATGCACAATAAAAAACAATTTACATTACAACTTTATGTAAATTGCCCAGCAGCTCAATTGCCTCTTTGCGATTCATAATTTAGGTGGCCCAGCGTATCAATTTTAAAACTTAATTGCAATTGTTTGTTGAACTAAAATACGCAGAATTTTCAAGCACGCATAATAACTAAAAGTAGACAATTTATAATGCAATTTGAGCTCTGAGTATATCAGTTGCAATTTTTCAATTGAAAAAAAAGGTGTTCCACTGTGATCACCCTTAATATAAACTTTTAAAACCTTTATTGAAAGGGAAATATAAAATAGCGTGTATCAAAATGTAATATTTAAGACAGGTAAAGACAAAAACTCTATCGAAATCAGACGAGTCACAGCAGAGGAAGGCTAAACTGAAAACATCAAACCCTACTTATTTGCTGGAGGAAACAGAGAAAGTTTCATCTTGCAATCAGACTTATTTGATGATTTTCACCCCACTTCCTCACCAGCAATTAACATAACTCGATAGCGTTTTTGTCATTTCCTTTCTTAAATATCAATATTTAACTCCTAATGCGCATAGTTTTTTTTTTTTTTTTAATTTCATTTTTATCATGGACTTTAAAATTTCAAAGATGGTCATTCTAGCTCACTTTGCACGGGAATTTATTTAAATAATCTTAGTTTTAAAATAATTTCTCTGATCACAAAGCTCAGAATTGCAAATACCATAATGAATTTTTCATATTGTTTTAGAAGCATTATTTATTGCTTTAGTAACATTATTAATTGCTTTAGTTGCATAATTATTTGTCTCAATATAATTTTTACTAATTGTTTCAGTAGTAATATTAATTGATTTTGCTAACACAATAATAACACAATAATTTGCTATCCAATTTCAGGTAAAACATCAGGAAGTTTGATTGCCCGCTTCGTGATGAACAACTTTGGTGGACCTGCTGCTTACCGATTTGTTGCTGGAATGTGCTTCGTGGTTGCTGTTTTTTACTCACTTTACCTTTACTGTAGAAATTGCTATGCCAGTCAATTTCAAGTTTTAGAACAAAGTAATTAACTAATATTTATTTGTTGGTTTTATGCACATTAAGGGTGAGGAATCGTTCGAGTCTTGAGTCTGGCTGATTTGTGAACTGTAGCTTTGAGAAAATAGTATGGGATCAATCCATTCTAGGTTTTTGGGAAGTATACTTAAAGGCTTTTTAACAAACAAATATATATAAATATGGTCAGTAAATAAAGTAATATATATATATATATATATATATGCGTATATATATATGTACGTATATATATATATATATATATATAATACCTGAAATTAATNGATAGATAGATAGATAGATAGATAGATAGATAGATAGATAGATAGATAGAAACTTTTGAAATGCATAGATTTCAATCTGTACCTGAATAAAACCAAAATACTTTTTAGTGTCCTCAGAAATTTTAAAAAAAAATAAATTTAATAAGTCAATTAAAATAATTTTTTAATTAGAATTTAAAAATTTATCTCTCTGAAAAATATGTTAATTGAAGGTCTTAATTAATAAATGCATCGTTTTATTTTTTGTTTAATAAATAATCTTTATTTTCATTCAATTTAATCCATTTTAATTTTTTTTTTTTTGGTTATCAATGTATTTTGTAGAAAATGAATTAATTTTATTCAGTTTTTCCTTACTAGATAAAACTTCCATTTGAGCACCCAAATCAACATTGTATCACGTACATTTTGTAGTACCCTTAACATTTTGAAATTGGAACTAGAGTTTTAAATTTTTACACCAACCTAAAAACTAATTGAAAATTAATTAAATTAATTCAATTAATTGACCATATAAATGTTTCGCACACATTGTGTGCAAAATTACCTAGTGAGCGAAAAGTATCTAGAAATCTACATAATTTTTTTTTTACTTTCAGGTAATCAGGAAAATGATGAGAAAATCGAGTGTTAAATTGAAGCAGAGGAATGATATAAGATTCCTGATTATGTAAATGTTTATACTAGAGTTGAATAAAATGTAAATAAATTTTCTAGACTATTTTATGACAGGCATAAAAGCTAAAAGAAATCCTATTAGTACACCTATTGAACTTTCATTCCAGAAGTTTCAAAATTCTTTCATAAAAGTGTAGAAACTATTTTAAATACTTTTACAATTGTACAAAGTGCTCACTGGAATCTGTATCCAACCAATTAACTTGTAAACAGTTACGGCTATAGTTATAAAAGTAGCGCCTATGTACAGTAAAAGGGTCATACGCTACAAGATGAGACAGTTTACAGCACTGCCTGAGAGAAAACTGCTCAGGTATGGTTCCTATTTTTAAAATTGTTCGACGGCCTCGATTTAGCAACAACACATTGTGGACATTCATGACAATCGATGACAGCAAATTGCAGTAATGTCTTTCTAAAACCTAGTGGACTGCGCGTCAAACATTTTATCCTCCTTGCGAAGGATCGGTGAACTGCGCTTAAAACAACCTTTGTGACCATCCTTTCTCCTTCAATGATGCAGTCAAACATTATCTGATAAGATCATCTAGCCAACAATGTTCGCCAGGCGAAAGGATGTAGTGGAGGAGATAAGTCAATTAGTGTTCCCTTATTTTTTTTATTTAATTATGCAATTTTTCAATTAGTAGTAATTTTTTATTTATAGTAATTTAATTTCTGTAATTTTAAAATAAAAGCTATATTTAAACTAAAAAAAAAGTTTTTTTTATGGTAAAAAGGAGTCAATTAATTGGTAAGTGATTATAAGTTTATACAGTATAAAAAATCGAGGGTACAAAAATACAAGGATAATTAATCATTTTAAGGTAACTTTTGTTAAGGTAAAGTGTCACAACCTAGCATAAATTTGCCAAAAAAAACCTACACTGATGCTTTTTATGGTAAAGTGTCACTTTTCGGGATATCCTACGCTGATATTTTTAATGGTTATGGGCCCGTAAGCATTTGCCCGTCATACCCAATACAGACTTTTAAAATTTGTTAAGAGCCATAGATAATACATATACTGAATACTATGAGTGAATATAATAAATTCTAGATGTAAATTCAATCCTGACTCTAATATCTCAAATTTAATTCTGGAATAAATTGGCATAATTTGTTCCAATATATTATTCTGGACCCGGTGGAAGCTTATCGCCAAGATTGCGCTTGATTATTATAAAATGCTCCCTCACATGTTAATGAGAACTGGAAACGCAACCTACTAGAAGTGCTATTCGCATACTGTTAAAAGTGTTACAATTGAAGCAAATCCTAAAAAGCAAGCTGAAAATCTTAATCAAAAATTCGAAAATTGATCTTCGATATAGGTAAATTCGGGTCATCTTCTACCATGACGTTAAACAAAAAGAGACAGACAGGCTCACTCTTTTATTCCAGGCATCAATAATCGTTATATTATTAATGTAGTTTTACGATGAAAATTCGACATGATTCTTTTTAATAAAAAGTTAAAAATTAAGAATACACCGATAACAGTTTAGCCATACTCGGTGTATTAAATAGGAAAATGAACATGTGATTGATATGTATAATATTATTAATATACATGAGTCAATGTACACAAATTAATATATAGAAATTAGTGAGATTTCCTATATAAATGACACATACCAATTTATTTAAAAACAGAGAGACTTATTTAATGTAAAAGTAAAAAATTAAAAAAACACATTTTTATCATTTATATATAAAAGTATTACTCTTTGACCTAATTGTTTTTTTGTTTCTTTAAACACTATTTAGCATGGCAAAAAATTAAACTTAAAAAAAATGGAAATGTGAATTTAGGTTTGCCTGACTTGCAAGCTCCTCATTTCTAAAAAGAATTAACCTAATTCCTTAATAATTTCAGTCGTTTTCTATTTTAATTAAAATATAAAGGTAGCATAATTTATAAACTCAACCTATAATGATATTCTTATATTGATATATAATTTAAAAGTCACTAAACCTCTTAATGCAATTTCATATTTTAAACCACAATATTTTAAAATTACTTGCCAATTATATGGAGATAAAAATATTCATTGAATTCACAAAATATTTTCTGAATGGATATCTAAGAGAAAGAGCCATTTATTAGTACGTTTCTTGAAAAGTTTCCGAAGTAGCTGCAACTCCAACATACTACCGGCTGCTTCGAAAACATATCCTAATTTTCTTTCCTGTGTAGTTCCATTAGTATTAATCAAGAATAATACTTTGATTTTAGTAAATCTTAGTTTGGTAGATGTCTGTACGAAAAGACGCAATGAGAAAAAACATTTAATATATAACATAGTAGTCTGAATTTTTTTTCTAAGAACTTATCAGGCATATCTCTTAAAACATTTCTTTATTTTATTTTATTTATATTATCCCTTTTTATTATATCTCCCTTATCCATTAACTATAATTCCTTTATCCATTAACTATAATTAGCTTATTAAGTTTTTTGTAGACAGATTCTATATTTCTACTACAAAATCCACTTTGGACTAATAACAAAAGAATTCTTTAATAAGGAAATAAAATTTCTTCTATGTTTTCCAACGTTTTTCTTAGTTCAAAATTACCAAAGAAAAATAATATAATTAACCATTAGAATACAAGTGCATTCCTTAACTCGTATGTGTTAAATCAACACTGCTTCTTACACTGTAAAAAATTCTAAATCAAATTACGGTATAAAGTACCAGCACTTTGGATGCATCATCGACAAAATCAATTTTGCCGTAAAACCCATTTTTACTGTAAAATATCATGACCGTAACTATAACAGTAATATTTATTTAATTAGAATGATTCGGTGCTTTTGCGATAATTATTACTGTAAAAATTAGGTTATATATTATTTTTTGTTCCGTGACATGATCCGGTAAAAATATATTTTACGATAAAAAGTATCGGTAAGCTGAGTACCTTTACTTTATACCGGAATTTGATTCAGAATTTTTTACGGCATACAGCGAAAAAACAAAGACATATTTCGGTCACTAAAATCTTACACTGATAATACCTTGCTGGTCAGATTTTCTTCAGAATTTATTTTCTTCAGATTGCCCACATTAATAACAAAAAAGTAAAGTACTCCCAAACAATCTGTTGACGACGTTAACGTTAATGCTGGAAATGAAGTCAGGATTCCGCCAACATTTTAAAAAGAAAGTTAAGTCCTTAAAATGACTAAAAAATGTACATGAAAAATCTGCAGATTATTTTAAATAAAAATATTCAAAACATCTTAAGATTTCCGAAGAAAATCTTAACATCTGCTCAACGTGAAAGCAAGCATGAAATTTAGAAGGAAAAAAAAAACAGAACATTTCTTTTTTTTAGCACACTGTAAGTATTACAAGCATAACAAAATATATAGGGATACTAAAGTTATATAAAGTTTATTGCTCAAACAATTTTTTGAAAATTTTGTTCAGTACTCTTATTGGACTTTTATTAGTTGAGTTTATTGCCGCTTTCAATAAAAATGTCCGGACAATTTTGCTAACTTACAAGTGAAAAAATAACTTCTTATTAAAAAACTAACTTGTTTTAACTTCAACAAAACAAAAACAAAAACTTCATTTCAAAACAAAAAGTTATCTATTAATAAAATGAACAAATATTTGATTTTATATGACCTCTTCATATGTGGACTTTCGCTTCTTAGCTTTTAAAATCACAATATGAAAAAATTTATAGTTTTACCCTCACTGAAACATTCGTGGACGTTTAAGCTCTCTGGGGATTCCTCAATAGATGCAGAACATATAAGTTATTTGGATAGAATTCCACATAAACAGAAGAGATTTTCGAAAAAGGAAACTAAATCCACGCGCATGAAAACGTAAGTAATTTTAAATATTATATAATTTAGTTATTCTGAAAATTATTTTTAATCCTTTGACTAAGTAGTTCTGTGATTTGCATGAACCTTTCAAATTCATATTTAATTAATATTTAAAAATAATACAGTCAAAGACATGCAGCTTCGCATATGTCTTGGTACTTTAGGATGCATGGTGAAATTTAGGACAGCGTAGTAGTCAAGTGAAATCTAATAATTATGAGTATTTATATTATATCTATTAAGTAATATTTTATGTGTATTTAAATTAATTGATTTATATTAAGGTACATACATACGATAACTTCATATACAGAATAACTTCAAGATTTTGTGTTTTTTCCATGATTTTGACATTTTACTCCGAAGTATTAAATATTTTTTCTGACTTATGTCAGATTCTTTTCAGTAATCATTTATTATGCGTGTTTTGCATAATTAAACTAGTTTAGAAACTAAGATTCAAAGCAGTATGGCATTGTACTTAAATAAAACTCTGTATCTCTTTAAGAAAATTCCTGAATAATTATTCAATCTACTACACATTCAATCTACTGTATTTTAATAGACCATAAAATAACAATATGCATGTTTGTTCCTAGTTAGTTGCAGTTAAACATTTGAAATATTTATATTCATTTACTTAATTGAAACCTGAGGTTCCCGTATGTGTACCTAAAATTATTAGTCCCCTGACAGCTTAATTAATATTTTGTTTTTCTTATTATGACTTATGACAGTAAAATAGTAAATTCGGAACTGCAAAATATTTTTATATTCCTTTATACTTCAGTAGTGAAGAGGTTAAACACTTTGTACGTTATGAATGTGTAACACAAATTTTTCAATTGCGTTGGAGTTTTTTGAGAAAGTGTAACAGTATGAGATGAGATGATAGCAAATGCAGTGACAAGAAGTATAGAACCCAGAATCTGCACAGCTATCTTAGTTAAAAACAGGTTTCAGAAAACACTGGTTTCAAATAACTAGTTTACTTTATGAAACGTTACAAATACTTTATGCAGACTTTACAATGAACTATTTAGAAGTGTAAATCTTCTCTCATAAATTTCTTTCCCAAGATAGTTTCCAAATACGAGATTTTGTTCATACGAGATTTCAATCTGCGAAATTTTGTTCGTATGAGATTTTAAATCCTGCATTATTCAATCCCCACTAGATTT